ATGGGCAACTACGTACCGTACTGAATTAATTTGACAAAAGCTGGCTTTCCCACATGTACTTAACAGTGTGATGCCCGGGTGTGATATACAACAATAGTATTTACCTTACCTTTTTCCAATTTCTTTCTACCTCAACTTTACAAAATATCATTAAAATCGACAACAACTGTCAAAGCAGGCACGAACACCATTCGTGCTATGCCTTGAGAGCAGCACACATCCTCTCGTTTTCGTCTCATCAAGTATGTGCATTGGAGCGTGCTATCGGATACGATCTTCGGCCAAAAATGCCGGATTTGCGCATCATGTTGTTTAATGTCATTGATGACACACACGACACAAAATGTGAATGAAAAAAAATTAAATTTCCAAAACTACTTTCAGAAAATTGTTTTCTGTGTGAATAAGCAATTTCACTTTAAAAGGTTTGAAAAATCTATTACATTTAGACAAAAAAAAACTTTCAAAGTACTATAACAATTATTGTTAGGCGTTCGAGGGCCGCACTGGAAGTTCTCTGGGGCCGCGAGTTTGACATTCATGGTCTAGATTGAAGTTTTCCCAAATATATGACAGTATTTATCATGAATCATGATTATACCCTTTCCTGAATTCCTTCTATAGTACTACCAACAGTTGAAGAACCAAATATAAAACAGGTGTAAGGGTGTAACAGGTGCGTCGTTTCAATATTGATAGGGCGTCGCAAAACTTTTCTTCTTTTGCGGATTTGTACCTGCGGTGCGTAGAAAAAGTCAAAATTTTCGTTCTGGAAATAACAATATATTTATATAATATATTAATTAATTATTGTAACGATCGAAAATAATAAGGGCCCAGTTAGTGAGTTGATTGAAAAAAATATGGGCCTGGGCTATAAAACGAGCAAATACGGTACGCAAATTCACATAAACGAAGAGTCTAGACTCTAGTGCAGTGTTTCCCAACCCGAGTCCGCGGACTCATTTGAGTGCCGCGAGTGTTTGAATGAGTCCGCAGCAAGTCAGAAATTCACTGCGGGTCGCAAACGTTTTTGCGAAACTTTACCATCAGCCAAGTTACGATTTACGTTAGAATTTACATATGACATAAAAAGCAAGTTTATTCACATAACATTAATCGATTCAATGATTACTGGATACCGAGTACGGCTGGGCATATTCAACTATTACAATAGCAATTTACTATTCGAAAATTTGATAACAGGTGACGCGACAGGTCACTTCGCGTCGCTTAATCAAACGATTGAATTTCACAACACACTTGCGGATTTCCGACGAAAACACGAGTCGGCACACGCGTGGATAGATACCTAAATGGTGTTTCTCGCGCGCTCGAACAACTAGGAATAATGTTTTTTCTGGTAGGTATCAATGGTGGCAACCTAAATTTTCTAAATTGAAGAGCGACAATACTAAAAATAAAATGGAGAACACCATAAGTTTTGTTTTATGATGGTCCACGACAGATTGAAAACGTTTTTTTATACATTTCAAATCGCAAAATTTCGGGGGTTACTGTAGTAAGGGCTTTTTCCTTTAGGATTATTTGCTTTACTGTCTCCACACTGGTACGTACAGTACTGGGGCGCCGTAAGTGTTGTACAAACAGCTCAGATTCGTCGAATTTAAACGCTTTTTTATATATTGCGAATCGCAAAATTTTGGGTGCTACTGTAGTAAGGGCTTTTACAGTACTGGGGCGCCGTAGGTGTTGTACAAACAGCTCAGATTCGTCGAATTTAGGCGCTTTTTTATATATTGCAAATCGCAAAATTTCGGGTGCTACTGTAGTAGACTGTGGTAAGCGCTTTTCCCCTTCGGATTATTTTCTTTACTGTCTCGACACAGGTACGTACAGTACTGGAGCGCCGTAAGTCTTGTACGAACAGCTCAGATTTGTTGAATTTACAAAAATACGAATCAAAGCAAAATATAATCGGGCACTTCACCACGCATTTTTGTGTCCACGGATTGTCATATTTCCTGAGTAGCAGTGGCGGCGCGTCAATAGGGCCAACCGGGGCAATGCCCCGGTTGTTTTTTCGGTATAATAAAAAATATTCGAAAAAGACCTCAATATCGGTTGCACAGACTGTCTACATTAGCCATATTCTCCCGACATGGTTCATTTTTCGCTCGCAAAGCCTTCGCCGAACGTCGACGGGGCGACGCCGATTTTGCCCCGGTTGCTCATTGTATATCGTATTCTCTCTTTTATCTTCCACTCGCCGCGTTTGTTTTCTGTTTCTTTTACTAAATCATCGGGGCTAGGCCCAAAATTATGACGACACAATGCCGACGTTTCTTACAACAACGTGTTGACATATTCACGCATTCCTTCTCGTTCGTTGGTTGCTTGAAGAGTTGATAGTTTCCTCGCCTTCGTTTTTGTCGCTTGTTTCGCTATTTGAATCAGTTAGAGACCTTTAGTCCATTTGCTTTCGATTTTCCACATTCCTTTTGAGCTCCTCACTTCTTTCCGGCTTCGCATTTCTTAGCCTTAGACCTCATAAGGAATAAGGTTGATGCACTACTTCGCACTCCGTTTTCGCAGCTGCCGCTAGAACAAAAATTTGAGGTACAACGTCTTGGGCCTTATCAACCAAAAAATTGTTCACTGGAACAATCCCATGACGGAGGAAAGCGTCGGCGTACATTCTGCGCAGAAACTTGATATAAAAAACACGAATGGTTGTGTTACAGCGAGGACAAAAATGCACTTTTTTGTTTTTATTGCCTACTTTTTGCTACCGCCCGTGACTCACGTTGGTGTAAATTTGGTTTTAGAGATCTTAAACATCTTTCCGAGCGTGCCAGGGATCATCAATCTTCTATGGAGCATCTGGACAATGCAGTAAAATACCGAACATTCGGAAATGTTAATATTGCAGCACAGTTGGATGAAGGACGCGCGGTTTCTATTCGTCGGCACAACCAAAACGTCGAGAAAAACCGCCATGTTCTCGGTCGATTCATAGACGTTTTGAAGTTCATTGGTTGTTACGAGCTGTCCCTCCGTGGGCACGATGAACGGGCTGGCTCTTCTAATAGAGGGGTATTTTTGGATATGGTGGAATACACCGCATCCCTAGATACAGTATTGAGAGATCATCTTGATGCCGCAACTGTTTCGAAAGGGACATCTAAGGATATCCAAAATGATTTGCTCGACTCAAAGTATAAAATTTATTTACAACATTCGGCTCTGGAAATTGAGAATTGCCAGTTCCTTTCGATTCAGTCTGACGAGACAACTGACATCACGTGCGTTTCCCAACTGGCTGTGATTTTTCGGTTTGTGAAAGATGGTAAACCTACCGAGAGATTTCACAGCTTTGTACCAATCGTTGATCGCACGGCTTGCGGGATATCGGCTGTACTGAATGAAGTGTTACAGCCTTACAACGCGAAGTCAAAATTGATAGCTCAAACTTATGACGGCGCGGCAGTCATGAGTGGGTCGAAACATGGTGTTCAAGTTTATATAAAAGAAGATTTTCCTCATGCGCATTTTTTACATTGTTATGCACACCAATTTAACCTCGTTATTAAAAATATGTGTCTTGATACCCTCTCGTCCGTATATGTTTTGCAAATGTTTCGGGGTTTTCTTCATTTTTTTCCGTTTCGCCGAAGCGCTCTGACCTCCTTCGCCAGATATGTAGCCGCCGTCTCCCAGCTTGAGCACCAACACGTTGGAACTTCCAATCACGCGTGGTGCAGGGCGTGTCCGAAATTAGGTCTGAGCTCATTGAGTGTTTCAATGGCATTCAGAGCTCTCCGGTTTGGGACGAACGCTCTGCGAGGGAGGCGGCAAGTCTAAAGCGTCTGCTAGAAGATGGTGAGTTTTCATTTTTTCTCGCTTTTTTCTCCACAATATTCTATCACGTGGATGTATTATAAGGGCGCATTGCAGTCAAGGCTAATGGATGGAGCGTCTGTGCAGTCGTGTATTTCAGACTTCTGCGATGCTGTATCTCGTATCCGGGAAACAATAAAATACGACGACACATGGAGTGCTTCTTTACGCCGCGGGCAAACAACGCAGCGTTTGATTTTGTCTGCAAAGGAATGCTGTGACATTCTGGTGAATCAAATAGGCGATCGTCTGCGCACTGAACACCTTGCCGCGTTCTCTTTGATGAACCCCAAAAATTTTTCAAAATTTGCACGTCAATTTCCCATCCATTTGTTGGCTACTGTCTCCAAATTTTACCCCATGATAAACGTGGGTAAATTGGAAAATGAATTGCGATGTATATACACCAATCAAACTTTTTTGAACATCACATCAACTTGCGCGCTCTATGGGTTCCTCATAGATAACACTCTAGTAACTACCTTTGCGGCGTCTGCAAAATTTCTGGGCATCATTTTGACGACGCCTATTTCTTCCGCCGACGCAGAGCGAACATTCAGCACGCTGAAGCGTATTAAAACGTATCTCAGAAACACAATGACTGCAAAATACAATAATGCAACTTGTGAACCAGTTACCTCATATGATAGAGCTAATCTTGCTGTTGTTGCGCCGGAACACATAATAAATGCGAGTCAATCAGAATGAAAAATGTTTAATCACGATATAGAAAAGAAAAAGCGTTACAGTAATTTCGGATTCAGTAATTACAAAACATACTCTACTAATACGGTCAGATACATAAAGACACAATTGCCAAAATTTAATATCTTCTGAAAAGAAAAAAAGTAATTAAAAAAACATCATTATTCAGACACATATTTCAACTTGCATCATGCAAAGAGGAGCCTGGTTCTCTTCAAACGTGAATCTTGCATGTGGTTGACTGTAAGTGTTTACATATTTTTTCATCTCACCCACCACTGCATATCACTCATCAGAAGTTCTACGAATTTTTTTGCCACTGTTTATATCGTATATGGATTTTTATGGAACACTCTCCACTTGTTTCACAGCAGAGTGAGATGTTTTTTAGTGTGAATTTTCCTATGTTTATTCATGTTCCAAGAAGATACAAATCATTTGCCACATATCTCACAAGAGTATGGCCTATCATCTGAATGAGTTTTCATATGTGTGTTCAAATGACTAGATTGCGAAAAACATTTGCCACAAGTTTCACAAGAATATGGCTTCTCTCCTGTATGAATTCTCCTATGCCTATTCAGATTACTGGAACTTGTGAAGCATCTAGCACATATTTCACAGGAATATGTTTTTTCTTCGGTATGAATTTGTATATGACGTTTCAAATCATTAGATTGCGAAAAAGATTTTTCACATATTTTACAGGGATATGGTTTTTTCCCTGTATGAATTTGTATATGACGTTTTAAATTACCGGCTTGTGAAAAACCTTTTCCACATATCTCACAGGTGTGAATTCGCTCATGAACAGTTAGGTTGCTTGATTGCGCAAAGCATTTTCCACATATCTCACAGGTGTATGAATCTCCTGTGTAAATTCGCTCATGAACAGTTAGGTTGCTTGATTGGCAAAGCATTTTCCACATATCCTACAACAGTGAGGTTTTTCTTCAGTATGAATTCTCATATGCATCTTCAAATTACTTGCTGTTTTAAAGTTTTTTCCACATATTTCACAAAATAATTGCTTTTCTTTTGACATACCGGACTGTCAATCGGTTCGTCAACTATCGCAATCTAATAACGTAGTAGGATATTTTGAACTAAATTTGAATATGCAAAATGGAAGATCAAGATAAAATCTAGTCATAAAATAATATTTATTTACGTCAATAATGTCAGAACATCTACGCCAGTAGTTTCCAAACTGGGGTCGGGCGGACCTTTTGGGGTCCGTGAAGCATTTTCAGAGGGTCCTCAAAACAAATCTGCAATATGGCTAATAGCTTGATAATACAAAAATTAAGTGCATAAATTTCAAAATACACATTTGTCGACTTTTGCCAACACAAGTTTACCAACTGCAGCTCTGTCCTTGTGCACGTTTACCAAATATCGAAACAGACTGGATGTTACACATAATGCATGATTGCCACCAGGTAAACTCATGTTTATAATAAATGAAGCACAACCGGTTTTAGCAAAACGATGTAATTTGCTGACGATTCGAATTTCTATACAGAAAAACTTCATCAGTGCATGATATGGAAAGGACACGAGTGGATATATATATAGAACAAGAAAAAATAAAATAAAGTTATCATGGCGTAAACTCTAATCTAAAAGAATAGTGATAAGATAATATATGTAAACAAATTAGCGCAAGTTCAAACAAAAAGGGGACTATTTAAATTATGATTTCTACACAGTGTGACCTACCGGGAACAGTGTGTTTTCTTTGTCATTCATCGAATATTTCTCTTTATTTATGTGATAGGAATTCGAGGAACCTTTTTGTAATCATCAATCTTTTAGATTAGAGTTTACGCCATGATAAGTGATACGCGTAAGTCACGCATGTGGTGGCGCTAAAGGTTTGATCGTGGCGTAACATGAATGAAATAAGAAATCTAGTAATATTTTGTTTGGTCAAAATTTGAGAGTATTCGGGACATTTGGCGCATGGAAACTAGAGATGTACCGATGTATCGGCAATATCGGTAATTTTTCCGGTATCGGCCATGTATCGGTATCGGTTAAATTAAGGCCGATATTTCCGATATATTTTTCTTTTTGATATGGTCCAGAATGTTTTAAAGGGTAAGTTGGAATACTACTTTTTAATTTATTTTTTGTCTGGAGAGATCGTGAGCTATGAGCCATACATGTCCCCACCCCCGCGAGAGAATAGGATTCACGTGTTTTTAGCTATTCATCAGCCAAACTAGCTCAACTAATTTGGCTATTTTTGCTGTCAAATTTTAATATTGACATTTTTAATATTACATAGTAATTATGAAGAAATATACCAACACAGAACATAACAAAAAGCAACTAGGCGCCCAGTTTCAAATCATACAGTGGAATTGGGGTCCTTATTAACGGCACATGGACTTTTGTCACGGGTATAAATTCTGACTGTTTGTCGTCAAGTACGAGTGTCATTTAGTCCGTCGACATCGATAAACTAAAGTCCGAAATTCAAAATATATGATAGCAATTGTAAAATATTTTATATTATAAAATAGTAAAGCAAAAAAACATCCTCGACGGTTATAGGTAGGCCTTCTTTTTGTCGGTGCTGATTGATACTCTTTCATTTTAGCTTTGACTTATTGCGTCGACGATTACGATTAGCCACAAAAATAAAATATTTGTAAAATGCTTTTAATTTGAACGTAGGACGGCGGCGCTAGAATGTGTGGGTGATATTCGAAGGTCGCGGTATTCATATTAAGTTCAAATTGGACATCGGGCTTATGAGTTTTCTAATTGAACACCGAGATTACTAGCGTTACACCAAACATTAATTTCATATTATGTGATATATATATCTTTTTTTTCGATCTGAAATAATGTGTACTATTAACCCGTCTGCCCTACACAGCACACCTAATTAAGTAATAATTACATAGTATCGGTATCGGAATATCGGCTTTTTTGTAGTATCGGCGTATCGGTATCGGCGTTTTTAGCTGGTATCGGTATCGGTACATCTTTAATGGAAACTAGTTTATATATTCAAATTGACAATTTGTTTCGATATGTTCAATCAGCTGCCGATCAAAACTACTTAGAGCCATTTTTCTAAAGCAAATCTGGTTCTGTTTGATTTACAATTATTCAGAGATGTCTTACATTATGGATGGATTTCCGTCAGGCTTTTTTGTTCGTAGAGTTCGATGACTTAACTGAAAGCTTCTTAATAATATTTATTATCCGTGGTACAAGTTCGGAAGTAGTGGGGTTTTAAATCTGCAGATAACAGAGGTGTAATCTCTGAGCACATCCCCGCTATCACCAATTTCTTACCTCTGTTATCTGCGTATGTACTGATATTATCTGCCACTCCGAGCCGAAAACAGTCGATGGAAACTTATAAATATATTTTTACCGAGAAACTTGAAGCAAAACCATTATGTTTTTGGGAGTTTTCATTTTTTCCAATATTTAAAGCAAACATCGCAGGAACTTCGATACATTCATGATAGACGGGCCGGAATTTTTCGGGTTGTGCATTGACTACCAAAATTACTACACACCGTGCCAAGTTGCTTTTATCCATCGTTTCTTAAGATTTTTTGGTATTATTGATTATTCTATATTCTTCGTTTTATAATACACAGTATTTTTTCCAGGGCCGATGTATTTCGCTAAAATAGTTAACGCGTGTTTCTTGCGCATTTTCGCCATTGATTTGGATAGCAGTGTTTACCTTAGAATAGACCTTCTATTTTGTTCAGTTATTGTCAGCTCCCACCTTTGTTTGTGACGCTCTTGGTTTATATAGATAATAAGATGAGCGGCGCGGCGGCTCATCGTGCTAAGCGTTAGGAATACGCTCACCACCGCATCTCTGATTACTCTGCGTGGGTTTGCAGGTTCGAATCCCATGCGGGATAGTTATGTGCGAGAGGATTGCTGGACTCCTCGCCGTCGTAGGGTGGTTCACGCAAATGCTGGACGGTTACGGCTTCCTCCACCATCAAGTTCATGCTTACGAAAACAAATAACTAACTAATCCCATACCCAACATGGACTAGTGACCGGACGAGAGGCCTTGGTTCGCCATATGATTAGGCCGTCTCATCGTCTTTCCTTCCCCCTCGGGGTAAATATGTAAATCCTATCCTAAGGTCTTACGTATACATATAGCGCTTATATTTGCTAATCGTGTATATGAAGCGGTCTATATGCTTATGCTGCATGTCTGTTTTAAGCAACGTTCAGCAATATTTCAAGTACGGTATAATTTCTTAAAGTCGGCTGGATGTACATGAGTGAGCTGGCTATTTCGTATTAGGATTGTTTGTATCTCGAATATCACTCTCACCCTTGAAGAAAGGCATTAGGGGGTCCTAGAATGCGTACAGTACAGTTCACTTCTTATCAGTTGTATAAGTCTGAAAAAAGATTTGTACCGCTGCATGTTTGTTTCAAGCAATGCTGGCTTTGTATTGAAGCTAGTTCAGCAGAATTCTGAAAATCAGCTTGGACCCATTGGAGTATTTGTATTGAGATCATTAATATTTCAGTGTGGTGATTATTTTCTATTTATTCGTTTTATATCCCACTTAATATGTGGTAAATGCTTCCCAGAAGAAAGTAATTTGAATTCCCATATGCGTAATCATACAAAGGAGAGGCCACATTCTTGCAAATTATGTGGTAAATGCTTTACAAAACGAAGTTATTTGAATAACCATATAAGAATTCATACTGGAGAAAAACCATATTCTTGTAAATCATGTGGCAAACATTTTGCTCGATCTTCTACTTTGTTGACACATTTGACAATACATGCCAAAGAAACGGATGGATTAGGGATGCGGAATTTCATATTTTCTGAGTTTAGGAAACTTAATCTAGTAATTTAAATTGTCGTATAGCAAATTATGTATATTCTGATTGGAAACGACCTGTGCATATTCAAAACTGGACCATTGGCAGTGTGTAATGTCAGAATATATTGATCGAGCGCTCATTTTAATCAAAACAAATCACCAGTGCAGAAGTATTCTTTAATTTAATTCTTACCAGATAAACCCAGATTTTAGGTTATTGCCAATCATTCTAAGCTTTAACAAATAGAATAGATATATGGGTTATATTGTTTCAAATACTTTGTGTTATATCACATTTGATTCAGTTTTTTAATTATGTCATTGGAATTTGGTCTTTTAAATATTGCCTGTTTCATAATATTTTTGCATAAAACTAATTGGTGATTTGATTTTCTTGTGCTTGAATTTTGATATTCTGTGATTAAATTGGAAACGGTCGTTTTATCGTTTTCATTCTAAAATTTTTTGTAAATATTTGAATTCTCTCTGTTCATATTTATGAGTCTCTTAAAATAACTTTTTTGTTTATAAATTTTAATTTTTTTTGTAATATTACCATATCAGTCGTTAATTCATGTCTTCAAATATTAATTTCACCAGATCATGTGTCCTTTGTTGTGATGCTCATTTATCATTTGCTCAATCATTTATTTGAGGAAATGGCACATTTATTCACTCTTACATAAACAACTGTTATGTCCATGGAGACTCGAGGCTTGGCCTGTTCTTATTACCTGATACTCTCTTATTAATAAATAGGCGTTCAAAACATTTATTTGTATCATTTTTAAAACAAAAGCGCATAAAGTAACAAGAGCGCATAAAGAAATTGTGTTTCGGCTATATTCTGGCACTGGAGAAGCTTTATCTGTATCATATTGCAGAGTAAAAATGAAAAGTTCAAATATAGGCCAGATCAAATTTAATTCGTGTAATTAGGCGTATCATAACTTCAATTTTATTCAAATGTTCTTGTCAGGGCTATGATTTCAGATTATCTATCCAAATTCTTCCCTAAGACCCCGCGTGATAAATAGACATGGGATTCCAGGAATGCGTATGAAAATCCTATTGGATAAATC